GTTATTTTGTCTCCTGATCGTGTATTCTCCAGACTGACCCTGGCTTCTGACCTTGGCTTATCTCATAGTTTATTCTGACCCCTGCCATCCTCTGACTTGGGGTGACTCTAAGGAGATTTGAACTTTGGTCCTTCAGTGTCTTGGGCCTGATATCCTGCTTCTGAGCCAAAGTAGGATCCTATTAAGAGTGGTTCTAGCCCTGTCATTGCCTGCCTTGTCTGCAGCACTAGGGGGCTGGACTGTACCTGTGTCTGCTCCTGTCACTCTAAGTCCACCTGAGGCAGATTGATTATTAAGCCAGATCTATAACAATGCCTCTCCCTGACTCTGGTTGACGTGTTTGGCTCCTGTTATTTTGTCTCCTGATCGTGTATTCTCCAGACTGACCCTGGCTTCTGACCTTGGCTTATCTCATAGTTTATTCTGACCCCTGCCATCCTCTGACTTTGGCTTCACCTCGACTATCCTGCTTGTACCCTTGCCTGCACTGCGTATTGGAGCTTTGTTCCTGTCTAAGCCCCTGTGCACAGATTCACAGCCCAGGTAGCTTCTTACCTGGTTACTGTGGGCTGTGTTTATCTGCAAGGATACATCTGTGAGCATACATCTCTGCACTTCGGACTCCCACCAAGTTAAGACCCTGACACCAGCTGTCTCTCTCAGCCTGTAATTTTCGTATGCCATATTCATGACGTAATCGTTCCCATGCACGTTCCGGGAACGTAAAATACGTCTGCGTTCCACTCAGAGTACAACTTACACTCCACTTCCCTTCATCTCGAACGCACACATGTGGACCAAAATAATAGACATCCAAAGACACAATAAACCATCGTAATAAGATTCCAGTGAGAATCTTTGGCAGTCTACTTGATACATAAATATAACTTATGTACCCATAAGCAAAAATATTTATATAATTCTTTGTGCCCTAGAATCAATGTAGTGCATATAGAATTTATAACGTGCATATCAATTTCTTACTGTGGAATATGTGGCTCATCTTTTCGATACTACATATAAACAAAATTTGTTGGATAACTAAAAAAATCTTTTTTACAAAATGTTATATTTTCAGTTTAATTCAGTCAATTCCATATATACAATGATAATAAATAAAGTAAAAACTTAAAGGAAAAAGTTTTTATAATCATATAAAAAAATAGACATAAATGTGTGTGTGTGTGTGTGTGTGTGTATATATATATATATATCTATATATAGATATATATATATATATAGATATATATATATATATATATATATATATATATATATATAAATTTTTACAAATAATAATAATTAAAACTATATAATTAAAATCAGATAGGTGCCAAACTTGTTAATGGGTCTATTAAAGGGATATTATAGTGTTAAGAATACAAAGATATATGTCTATAGCTCCCTCTGCCTCCTCCCTCCCTCACAGCTCCCCCTGCCAATAAAGCATTAAAAACATTTTTGAGTCAATGCATTACTATTGCACTGGAGGACTTCAGCATCAGTTAGACGACCTAAAGTCTCCTAGCAAGCAGGAAGCGCATTTAGTGGCTGTCAGATTGTCTTAGTGCTGAAATATGTGTCAGTTTATGTGCATACATCTTAGCATTCAAACGCCAACACTACATACAAACACTCCTGCATTGAAACATTAACACTACAGGCATACACACCTCTGTGTTGAACACACAAATTATATATAAACATACCCTGCATTCAAAAACGAACACTACACTTAAATGTATGCTTACATTCAAACGCCAACACTACATACAAACAAACTGCTTACATTCAAACACACAGACCCTGCTTAGGGCTAAATATAGCACTGCAAGCATGGGAAAATGGTAGAGCCCAAGCAGCTATTTCAAACATTGTGGGAGTTGTACAACAGATGTGGATCTACCTTTTGGCCACCATTGTGATAGCAGGGACCACAAAATGTCTACTTTAGTTCCGCCAATGTGTTGATGATTGCATGTCAGAGTGAAGGGTGGGGCATGGTCCAGGGAGCCCAAGCAAATGCTTGATCAGGGTCCAAACAATATAAAGAAATGACAGAAATAGTAATGGAGTAAAGTGTACACAATTTTCCTGGAGCTCACTGTTCTATTATCCAATTTTTCTTCATTTATTTATTTTTACGTGAGTCTTCCTAAGGTCTTGATAAGCCACTTAGTAAATTAAAGATGGCTATCACAATCCAAGATGGCTATCATGCTAACGATCAGATTTTTTTTCACTTGTCCCTCTTTTATTTTGACTTGAGGATAGTATGATTAAAGAAGTTGCTAAGAGTATTTTTTTGCCATTTAAATGTCTACAACATATTTCTAGTGATCTGATGTTTTATTACTTAAAATTGTAGTTTGCTTGCTGTGCTGTATCACTGTGTAATATACAATAATTAAAGGGACACTCTAAACATCAAAACAAGTTTAGCTTAATGAAGTAGTTTTGGTATATACAGTAGAAAATGTCCCTGCACTCCCCAAACACTCCAACAACATGCCCTGGAGTCTCTGCATCTTAGAGATAATTTGGTGTACTTTGCTTAAACTAATTATCTCCCAGGCACTAGAGTTACGAAGTATAAAACATAAAATATTTAAAAAAAAAAAACATGATATATATCTGAAACCCCAAAAGCATTATTTCCCCAGATAGCCTGGACCTGAGCGCCCAAGTTGTTCAAATAGCGCTCAGATCCCACAAACACAGCCGAATCGCCACCGGGGTAAACTTTTGACCCACTGCATACGTGGTCACTTTTGGGAGTTCAGAATCGAACAAAATTTTTAATGGTTCACCTGGCTCAAAAGTAGTGATTGTTCACCTAGTTGGTTCAAACAATCTTACCAAACAGCACTCTCCTGTCTTGTCGGGAAAATAAGCAGGCGTTTGTGTAAATTCACCAGCGTTTTCTCCAGCACATGTTGTACGGTTATACAAACGGCCACAAAGGGAGAGAACTTAAGTATGTGGCTTCTTTGAAGTTCAATGAGCCAGGGGGTGGTCGGTGTTCGATAGATTTGTTTACCGAACACTGGGAAATTAACTGGGATGATAAAGTACAGCATTTTGTCATATACACATGTCCCTTGGTCAAAATTGTAGAACTAGAAAAAAAAGTTAACTGTGCTTTCAATTTGGCTACACTGGACTTGTAACCTTTTAATTACAGTTCTTCCACCCTGCATCAATCACGAGAGGGTGGTGCCTAACTGGATGGGTGATGTCAAATACAAAGGGGGCAGAGCCTAGCACTGTACACCTTGCCGATCTGCCTATTTGTACCCACCCAGGATCGGCCCTAGGTGTCACCGTCTTACCACCCCAGTGTGCATTAAATAATTTTTACTTACTTAATCCCATTAACAAAATTGCTGCTGACCTGCCACTATTGCTCTCAATATCGTCGAGTGAAGTTTTAATTCACCAGTTGTTTGGGAGATTGAAAGGGGTTAAACTTACCTTTTTTTCCAGCGTCGGGCAGGGAGCTCTCCTCCTCCTCTCCGCCTCCGATCCTCCCTTTCGGCTGAAAGCGCACGCGCGGCAAGAGATGATTTTCACAGTGAGAATCACGCAAGCGCCTCTAGCGGCTGTCAATGAGACAGCCACTAGAGGATTTGGAGGCTGGATTAACCCTATTATAAACATAGCAGTTTCTCTGAAAATGCTATGTTTATAAAAAAAAGGGCTAATCCTAGCTGGACCAGGCACCCAGACCACTTCATTAAGCTGAAGTGGTCTGGGTGCCTAGAGTGATCCTTTAAGAGTACAATTCAAATTTTATTGAACAAACCTCCTAATGATAACAGTATTTTTTTAAACATCAAAAACCTACAATGAACTGTTCAAAATTATTACACACAGTACGTTTCAAAACACTTTATAGGTTGTAAAGAACTGAAAATTGTCATTTGTTGTGTTTGCAGCATATTTATTGAAATCAAAAGATATTTCAAACAACATTTTAACTTTTTAAACATTTTAACAGGTCACGTTACATTTTAACATAGGACCCCTTATTTGATAGCAGCTTCACAAGTATTGCATCCATTGAACTTGTGAGTTTTTGGACAGTTTCTGCTTCAATTTGTTTGCAAGATGTCAGAATAGCCTCCCAGAGCTGCTGTTTGGATGTAAACTGCCTCCCACCCAGTGGTGTATCCTGGTTTTGTGCTGCCCTAATAGTGCGATGATCACGCTTAAGTTTTCGTGAAATATCTATGTGGCAAACCTAGCCACTCGGACTATAACTGGACACTATGCCTTTAAGGGTTGCCTATAGGTCTGGAGAGAGATGCATTGTACCTGTATGTGCCTACGTCATGTATTCCCTGCATTGCCTGTACCTATCTGTCCCGCCGAATGCAAATGGCGGTTTGTATGGGGATTCCCGTTCGTTTTGCGAACGGCACTTTGGAGGGCCGTTCGTGAAACGAATGCGATACCCCCTAATAGCCCACACACTTAGAGGCGTGTGGCGCTAGTTAACCGATTGCAACATTGTTGCAATCGGTTATTAGAGGCGCTCCTGGGTGGCCGTCGTTCGACTACCGACTATGCGGCGGTCGGCCATCTTGGATCCCTGGTTCGTCAGCGGGTCCGGGTCGTCGAACGCATAGCATTACCAACAGTTATTCGACGGCACGAACACCGCTAAGCCTCCAGGACGTTCGGGAGTTTCAGGACCAGGTTCACTAAAAGCAATCGGTTCTTTTCATGTGTTTTGAAAGAAATGTGTTTTCTGTGCGGCGTTCGGTTATTTTAGCTGGGATCTGAGCGGCAATCTCACGAATGATGCGCCCAGACCCCAGCTATCTACCGAACATCCATTCGTGTAAATCCACCGTATATTGTACCAGCTGTGGATTTTTGTGTGAATTGCCGGTTCTGCTGCACGAGGGGATAATCCCCTTAACGGTGCATTCTGGGAGGATGATCCCTCTCGTGCAGCGGTGCCTGATGGGAGAAATATGTGGTACTGTAAGTCCCCCATGTAGTCCCCTCCGGTACAACCCCTGTAATGTCTGTTTGGAAACCCCTTGCATGGGGAATTGCATAAATACTGTGACCTGTGATTAAAACCTCAGTTGACTCCCAGCCTATGTGTCGTCTAGTTCTTGGGAAGGAAGGGTTACTGCAGTGCTGTTTGGATTATTTTATGCTGATTCCCTGGATTATCCTTTGTTGTTCCTGTTACCCAGCGGAGATATCGTGGATCATACTGCCTCTCCGCTACAATTGGTGGCAAGCGACGGGATTGAATTTACACAGCAAAGCAACGTTCGGCAGATTTTTCAACGAATCAAGGAACAAGCATTCGGGAATCAGCGCATTCGAACAAACCTCACGAACAGCAGGTGAATGGGAACAGATTACACCCTGCTAAAACGGAGCACATTAAAGGAGCTGCTGGAAGCAAGAGGAGCAATCGCCAGTAACAAGGCAAAGGCTGTCCTAATTACGGAGCTCATGGAAGGAGACAGAGCCGCAGCGGCTGCAGCACCTCAAATGGAGGGACAAAACAACGAATTTACAGCGGAATTCCGAGCACGAATGGCTTTATTTCCTGAACCACCATCTACAGAAATGTTTAACCGGCTGTTCGCTGATGTACAGGAGTACATTATGGCTAGGGGACCGCCAGGAAACCAGCAAGCCAGAGAAAGAGCCGCAACGCCAGTCCATATTTTCCCAGGGAAAGCCAAAATCCCATATCAAGCCTTCAAAAGCTATGTGGAGACAGAGGGTGGCATTGACGACTATTTACAGGATTTCGAGAGACTGTGTTTGCTGCACGAAATTAATGATGCAGACAGAGTACCCCTGCTAGCGGGGAGATTATCTGGGCGAGCCGCCGAAGCGTACCGGGCAGTACCAGACGAGGATAGTAGAGACTACGCTAAAGTAAAACGGGCCATCCTAGCCCGGTATGCCATCACATCAGAGGCATACCGAAAGAAGTTTCGGGACATTAAAAAACCTACTAAGGACACCCATGTGGAATGGGCGCACCAGCTGCAACGAGCTGCCAAGGGGTGGCTGGAGGCAGCCCAAGTTGATACATTGGAGGGTCTGTTCCAGCTAATGGTACTGGAACAATTCTTCAATGGCGTCCCGACCTACCTACAAAACTGGATCCGGGACAGAAAGCCACACACCCTGCAGGAAGCGGCTAATATGGCAGATGATTTCCAGGACAATCGGAGAGATCAACCCATACCAACCCGAGCCACCATCCCCCCTACAACGGCCAGCCCTCCAGGGGGCCCCGCAACGTACCAGCGACCAGGGGTAAATCCGAATTCCTACCCCCCCAGATATTCAGCACGTCCACCAATCCGGTGCCATACCTGCAACCAACAGGGGCACATCCAGAGAGACTGCCCACGGAACCGGCCTCGACCCAGCTGGAATAACGCCGCCCCGAGCAACCGTGCCGCAGTCCACTGTCTACAGGCTGAATCCTACCAAAATCTGGAGTTGGGGACGACCCGGGAGGAACCCCTCGGTACTCTACACGAGGTGAACCCTATCCAGGCCGCCTCCGATAACCGCCAAGGGCACCGCCAGGAAGTACACATGGAAGGGAGGAAAGTACAAGGACTTCGTGACTCGGGAGCCACCCTAACTCTAGTACGCAGTCATCTGGTACCAAAGCCCAAGCTCACGGGGGACTGTGTGGCTGTGCGGGTAGCTGGGGGAGCCATTTACAAAGTACCCACGGCCAAGGTGCACTTGAATTGGGGAGCGGGGCACGGGAATGTATATGTGGGGATGATGCAAGACTTGCCAGCGGATGTGATTTTGGGCAACGATTTGGGGGAGCTGACTTCGGCTTTTGTTCCCCAGCCCACCGTACAAGCAGCATACCCGGTTGTGACCCGGCAACAGGCCCGCACCACTGCACCATTCGAACACTCTGAGGCTCAGGTAAGCAATGACCCTCCCCTACCCCCTACCCTGCCCTGGGCCAATTCCATAGAGTTCGGGGCCGAAGTAGCCCTAGATCCTTCGTTACAGGTGTACAAAGACCGCATGGATAAAAATCAAGCTGGGTTAGAGGGGGAAAGATATATCTGGGACAAGGGGCTACTATATCGGCACGCAGAGAAGGTAGTGTCCGGGTCAATACCGTTGCCCATTAAACAGCTAATAGTGCCTCGAAAGTATAGGTTAGAGCTGTTACGCATAGCCCATGATATCCCTCTGTCTGGACACCTAGGCATCAGTCGGACCAAGCACAGGCTGACCCAAAATTTATTTTGGCCAGGTATTTCCCAGGATATTAAGCGATATTGTCAGACCTGTGATACCTGCCAAAGGGTAGGCAAGAGAGGGGACAGATACAAAGCCCGACTACGGTCTCTGCCCATCATTGAAGAACCATTCAGTAGGGTGGCAGTAGACATCATAGGTCCCCTTGCAAAACCCAGCCCCTCCGGCAAGAAGTATGTCCTAACTGTGGTGGACTACGCCACCCGGTACCCCGAGGCAGTGGCCCTAACGAACGTACACGCAGAAACGGTAGCCGAGGCCCTGATGAGGATATTCACCCGGGAGATTATCTCCGATAGAGGCACCCAGTTTACTGCTGAAGTGACCCATCAGCTCTGGAAAATATGTGGGATACAACAAATCCTCAACTCCCCATACCACCCCCAGTCCAATGGGCTCTGTGAACGATTTAACGGAACCCTGAAACAAATGATCCGCACGTTCATGGACACCCAAAAGGACTGGGAGCAGTTCTTACCCCACCTACTGTTCGCGTATCGAGAAGTGCCGCAAGAATCCACCGGATTCTCTCCGTTCGAATTATTATTCGGGAGGAGAGTGAGGGGACCTCTTGACTTGATACGGGAACACTGGG